TCACAATAATTCAGTGAAGCGTCATTTGTGGCTTTCCTTCTGATTATCTCAAAGCCAATTGGAACTGATAAAGATGTTTCTTTTTGGAATACTCAGTTGGACTATGCCCCCCAATAAGCCATACTTCCCAATAAAATTATTTTGATGAATAAAAAAATTTTATACTGATCATTGGGAGGAAATTTGATTTATTTCTTGCTTTTTTGCCTTTAGATAGATTAAGGCAGGTTATTTAGGTGTAAATCATCAGAAATTATCTGTTCCTACAGATAATTTACAAAATACACTTATGGGCTCTGTATATTACACTTTGTCCTAAATTATGCATCTTCTGCTTTGAGGTAAGTAATTTTTGGCCTTAACAATAAGTAAAATGAGTGATAGATAACAAGTGGTAGATAAAAAAGGATGGACTCACTGAAGCAGTAGGCATGAACTTAAATGGACTCCAGAAGATGATAGAGGACAGGAAGGCCTGGAGGAACGTTGTCCATGTGGTCGCGATGGTCGTACATGACTTCACAATTGACAACAAAAAGATAAAACAAGGAACTTAAATTGCTTATGGCTTCATTGTAAGAATTTGTATCCATAAAAGTGAATATAAAATAAATTAACAGCAACCCAGCAGCAGTGAAGCAGGCACAATTTCTTTCCTTTGGGAATTATAGGTCCTGGATTTTGGATGCATTTTATAAGTTAGCCATCTGAGGTACCTTGGTTGAAAACTGTTGACAAAATGCAGCATGTTGTCCAGTTAAAGATTATGGGAATAAGAGTTTTAGTAGTATATAGGTAGATAACCATAAAACTAACAAAGAATTGACAAGACAATGGTTGACAGTCTTTCTCCCATAAAAAAACTATCCTGACAATTCTATCCAGAATGTAATAGATTCACTTCTGTAAAAGAAACAATTGGTTTTGTCCTTCTCTTTGGTCAAGTAATTCAGTTGGAGCTGTATGGTTTTTTTCCCAAGAAAAGAAATTAAGAGATTGTTGAGATGAAAACAAATTTAACTGTTTTTCCTGGGTTTATTGACAGAATTTAGAAATGATGCTTAGTTGGCCAGCTATTCTAACAGACTACTGAATGAAAGGAAAATATAGGAAATGCATTGGGGGCAGAAAGCAGGAGGAAAGTGACATCCCCAAGTGCAAGGCACAATTTGTTTAAAAAAGAAAAAAAGTGTTGACGGTAGTAAGGGAATGCAACCATTATATTTTGCCATAATTGTTAAAGCGGTCAAAGTTATTTCTCATTATCATGCTATATAATACTGTGTTTGTGTATGTGTGTAATTTTACAATTTAACTACATTCCTTTTTCTATAAATCTTCAGATTCTGAATACAGAGGAGCAAAAATCATCTAGCAATCTGAATTGCCTTTTTGCCCCTAATGAACCAAGTTCTCCAGGAGAGGAAAAATTTCCAGATTTGAAAAAGGCTAAAGTGGATGTTGATACAAGAAACACTCAAAAGACTAAGGAATCAGTTATTGCCAATGGAAGTAGTATAAACTCAGAGTTTACTGCTAGTATAGAAGACAGTAAAACAGATACAGAAAGTGAACCAGAAGAAGGTGAAATCACAGACACTGAACAGGAGGAATATAGCAATGCAACTGAAGTGACAAGTGAAGAAACTGAAAATTCAGAAGATATGGACAGTGAAGGTGAATGAAAGGTTTTTATAAAGGATATTTAGGAATAATATTTGCAGATCAGGAACGATAAAAAAATAATTGTCAGAAAATTGAATTATACACATTTGAATGCAAAACTGTCAAAATCAGACTCTTCAGTGAAGTCTATAAAATAACCCAATGTCTTGCTTATGAATCCATAAGGAGAAAAATATATCAAGTAAAAACCTACTGGGTATATTGTTGTTTACATGGATTTTGATAGAAAAAAGTAAACACGGACTTGAAAACACATGTTCAGAAAAACTTTTTACACGCGGATATAAGATGCTTATTGATATAAATTAGTTATTAAGGTGGTAATACTCTTTAAAAAGTATTTAAAGTTCACAAAAAGTTCAATAACATTTAGTCTGCTGCTGAGAAAAAGTATAACTTCTGTTTTGATCCAGACTGCTCCAGAAAAATAAGACAATCGAAGTAGTCTTTGATTTACGACCACAGTTGAGCTAAAAATTTCTGTCGTGAGACATTTGTGAATTTTGGCCCATTTTATGGCCTTCATTGCCACAGCTGTTAAGTGAATCACTGCAATTGTTAAGTTAGTAACATGGTTGTTAAGTGAATTTGGCTTCCCCATTGATTTTGCTTGTTAGAAGGTCGCAAAAGGTGATCACGTGATTCTAGGACACTGCAAAGGTCATAAATGTGAGTCAGTTGCCAAGCATCTGAATTTTGATCACATGACCATGGAAATGCTGCAACGGTTGTAAGTGTGAAAAGCAGCCATAAGTCACTTTTTTCAGTCACTAAACGTGATAACTGAACGGTCACTAAACGAACTATTCTAAGTTGAATACTACCTATACAGCTTTTATTAGTTTGTTGACTTCTAAAATATAGACTCTTAGGGTTCATCCATCTTTCAATTACTACCATTAAATGTTAACTAAGAAGCAATGTAGCTGAATGTTCAAATTAACAAGAGGTGTATTACAAATGCATTTCCCATAAGAAATTTTTCCTGTCAAATACAGCAGCTTTCTTCATTGCTGTTTTCACTTAATCTAGCAAAATTATGACTTCAGTTTAGGATTAGCACATTGAAATGATGACCTGTTCTCTCTGTTGCTTTAGTTACCCTAAGATTATTTTAATTGTACTAATCCTTCTTTTCCCATACATGCATGTAACCAAGGTGTATCTCTCTAGAGTTACAATGATGGCTACACCTTTAATGGCTACACCTTGGGAAAAGAGGTTTGTCAATTTTTCTCTTATAGAGATGGTTGCTTTATTCATATTTTAATTTTTACATAGTTTTTGCACATTTTGTATATATAAATGGCTGAAAATCAAATGTGCTTTCTAATTCTCTTTCGGGGATGCAGATTGCATAATACTGGAAAGTTTCTCTTTCTTAGACTTATATTTATTTATTTAGATGAAGACAAGATCTGGCCACCTTGTATCAGAGTGATTGTAATTAGGTCACCAGTACTGCAGATGGGATCTCTGTATATCATCACAGCTGTGAAACCAGCCACAATTGGAAGGTATCACACAATTGTTAGATGTCTAGATTTCTTTGTTAATTCCATCCTGTTTATTCATATTTGTAATGTTTTTAATGATCATCTTTAATTAAGACTTCATTTTGAATGAACCTGATTTCGTGCATAAGTATTGATTATAATGAATGTGCTGATTTACTGTTAAGTCAGATTTTTTCATTTTCATTAAAATACACACACAAAAACAGATGCATGTATATGTAACTGTGTGTAGGACATGCACTGAGGAGATACAGATGAAGAAAAATGTCCTCAAGTTATGTCCACATTTCTTCTTTTTTCTTTCCTTACTGCTGCTTAGATAGAGACTCTTATCCTTGCATAAAAGGTATTTGCATCCATTGGAGTTGGGATTTTTTTTTCTTTTTTGTAATTTCCACCTTTTCTCACTATAAGCCGTTTTGGTGGACTCTTGAATCTGGTCTGCTGGATATGAGAAAATCAGCATTTTGTGTGTGTGTGTGGTGACTATATGAACGTTGCTCCTTTCTAATAATAATCCCTTCTAAGTCCACTGATGGACTTACTTGATGTCTCTGGACAATATTGCCAATAACTGTGTTCTGATGGGCATTTCTAACAGTGTTGGATGAAATTACTGTTTAATTCAGATTTACACTAGGGTTTTGTAGAAAGTTATGAAAATAACTAGATTCAAATGCTTCACTGTGAAGTGGGGAAAAAAATCAATTTGTACCTGGACACAGGCAAACTTTAGAGCACCTTCTCTAAGCCTATTTTGATGGAACCAGGGTGTACCGTTCATTATTTAACCAAATAAAAGAGCACTAAAAGATCAGCATTTCACTTTTCTAATATGAAAGGTGCTATTTTATTAAAAATAATTTTAGCCTCAAAATTCAAAGAATTGTATGTCTAGTGCACTTACAACTCTCAAAAGGTAATTTTTAAAAAGTGTGCCTCTGGTAACCCAAAGGCTTCCAGCAGGCAAGTAAAGGAATGCTGACATATTAATGAGGGATTCTGCCAATGACTTGAGTCTGCCATCGACTGCTGAGGCTAGTCTTGCTTCTGAGTGAATTTGTATGCCATGTATCCACAGACTTTAACAATTACTTCTTTTTACAGAGAGAAAGGGATGGAACATACCCTGCAGATTCCAGAGGCCTCTGTCAGCAAGGTAATTAATTCTTAAGGTTTTTTATGAAATTGAAAAGATGATTACAGCAGGAAAAAAATGGATTTATTATATTTTAAATGCTTTGCAATATTTATGTACTTGCTATCAAAATATTTTTTCTGTTAGTTTCATGTGGAAGTATACTTCGATCATGAATTGCAAAGTTATGTTCTTGTGGATCAAGGCAGTCAGAATGGCACTGTGGTTAATGGAAACCAAATTCTGCAGGTGAGTATAACAATGCGACATGCTCCTGACTGATTTTGTTGATCCCTGGCTTTGCCCAGCACTTCAAATGGCCACTTCTCTATCCTTTCTGCTCAGCTGGGACACTGCTAAATGCATGTTTTGCTGTGTCACAAACTTCCCTCCCTGTACCTTTCTCTCTGAAGTAATGGTCCCAGGCTCTTTTGTTAGTATTTAATTTTCTGTTTTCCAGTTCTCACATTCATTTATTTACAGCCTAAAACAAAAAGTGAGCCCCATGTTCTGGAACACGGTGATGAAGTGAAGATTGGAGAAACTGTACTATCTTTTCATATACACCCTGGTAGTGAAACCTGTGATGGATGTGAACCAGGGCAAGTCAGAGCTCATCTTCGCCTTGATAAGAAAAATGAATCTTCTAGTAAGTAATGAAATATTATTGTTAACTTCTAAGGAAAAGTTAAAATATTATATTGAAAATAATATTGTATAATTAAGTTTAACTTAACTCAAAATCAGTAAGTAAATTGGGTAAAATCAGTAAGTCAGCCTCAAAAACTCTTAGATATAGATATGTGGACCATCCAAAGATAAACATTCAAGATCTTTTTATGAGGCAATATATTATAAAACTCAGATAGGATAGGAAGAGAATAATAGAAAGTTGAAGTCATGAAGTCTGCATGGATAAGAGTCTTGATAAAGAAAATGGGTTTATTTAATACATTAAATTTATAAGATGTCATATACTTTTGAGACTACTGAAAATACTGATGTTTAGCAGTTACTGAGATTTGCTGAAAATTGTCTTTAATATTTTAAAAAGCAGATGGTTCTTTTCAGTACTGAAGCTTTTTATATTTTTAATGCACAAAATATTCGACCTAATGGTGTTTGTCTAAATGGTGTACGCTAATGGTCTTAGCCATTGAAGGTATTATGAGGTAGATCAATATCTTGGTATAGGTGTAAGTCTAACATGGCTAATTTGATTCCTGTCTACATGCAGTAAGTTACTGGTTTTGTTATTTGATAAAATCCTTTGTATTTCAGTTGTCCCTGCATTAACAAAAGAAGAAAAGGAATTAGTTAGAAGAAAAGAATTAAAACAAATACGTGTAAAATATGGCTTACAGGTAGATTTATTTTTAAATGTATTCTTAATTGATAATGCATTTTGGAACTTTTAGTCTATTCTGATATACCTCAGTTATGATAGTTATCAAGGTCTGTAATACAGAATGAGATATACTATAAATAAGAATCAGGATATCATACTAGATTGAAACTGTGGAGACATCCGCTCAAGCCCTTATTCGGTCATGGAACTCATTTAGTAATTTTGAATTAGTCCTTCTCTCACCCAAGCTATTTTATGTGTCATGGAGATATACTGCCCTGAACTTCCAAAGAAAAGGCAGGGTATAAATGCATTAATTATACCCCATTTATTAAGTGAGCATTTAACACAAATTTATAGGAGTGTTTTTTGCCTGGTTACAGGCAAAGGCTCTGACAGTGTCCACACCATCATTGTAAACATAATATTGCCTTTTAAATGGGTTCATTTTTATAGTAACTTAAGAATGTAAAAGCAGACTTACTGGATAAAATCAAGAGACCCTTCTAATCCAACACCTAACTCCTATTGCAGCTCCTTCTCAAAAACCCACAAATAAGTGGGTTTTTTTTAAAAAAAAAACTATGCGGGTGTACAGGTCATTCTTGACTTAACAATTCATTTAATGACCATTGGAAGTTACAACAGTACTGAAAAAGTGATTTATAGCTGGTTTTCACACTTTTGACTATAGTAGCACGGTCACATGATCAGAATTTGGACGCTTGACTCTGGCATGTATTTATGACTATTGCCCTGTTCCAGGGTCCTATTTCTAACCTTCTCAATTTCCTAGACTTCTGACAAGCAAAGTCAAAGGGGAAAGCCGGATTCACTCAATGACCACATGGTTCTATTAATAGTTGTAGTGATTTATTTTGCACCTGGGGCAAAAAAATGTTGTAAAATGGGGCACAGTTCACTTAACAACTGTCTTGTTTAGCAACAAAAATTTGGGCTCTATTGTGGTCATAAGTCAAGGACTAACTACTCCAATATGAATCTGAAATAAAAAGAAGAAAAACATGTTTGTTTACTCTTTATTATGCATATTTTATAAGCCTGTGCCATTTTCTATCCCTCCTAGTCATTTCTTTCTAAATTAAAAGAATATAAATGATTGTTTTTAAGATCTTTCATGCCCAATTATTTTTACCACATTTTCCTGTAGCAATGTATGTAATATATGTATTTTAAAAGTATACTTAATTTATGAGATTTATTTTTGTTTTTAAAAGAATACAGACTATGAAGTTGATAAGGTTGTAAAAAATCCGAATTACAAAGACAGAGCAGGAAAGCGCCGTGAAACAGTCGGAAGTGAAGGAACCTTTTATAGAGATGATGCTCCAGCCTCTATACATGTGTAAGTTGGTTTCTTTTATTTTACATAATTAGGTGTTACATTTATATACAATACTTCATAAATTCAATTCTCAAACAAAATCTAAAATAATTTGGCACATTACAAATATTGAATTAAAATAAGTCAAAACAACCAATGTTGTAGTCACAGTGAAGATTAAAATACATCAACATTATGGTAGATATAAATCAGGGATCCCCAAACTTGGCAACTTTAAGACTTGTGGACTTCAACTCCCAGAATGCTATGCTGGCTGAGGAATTCTGGGAGTTGAAGTCCACAAGTCTTAAAGTTGCCAAGTTTGGAGACTTCTGCTTTAAATTGGGTCTGATAAAAATTTGACATCTGCATTAATTGGAAGTCAGGATTGGTATAATATGATCAAAATAATAGGCACTTTAAAATATTGTAGTTGAATGAAGTGTTCTTGGTGCTCTTTGAGCTTAGTTGTTTCCTTGCTTTTATTACCCAAACTAGGTAACATCATCAATGCTGTAGGGAATAGGATTTGCTCTCATTCTGTACGCTAGTGGCTTGCCCTGTTAAGTGTTGGTGGGAGTGGTCTTGGTGATTATTTGGTTGGGCTGGTTACTGTTACCTTGTTTGGCAGTTCCTTGATTGGGATATTATTTCTCGATTGCTACTTTAATGTTAATCTTGGTGTTAATCTTTGCTCATCTGGATGTTGATTGTTTTGGTCATAGTTGTATGTTAGCTCTGGTATGCTGAGGTATTTCCTTGCATAAGAAGGCACATTTTATATATAAATATATTTTCAAAATAAGTAGTAAAATATAACCCCGATCTCTTCCATTATTGAAAAATTTAAACAATTATTATTCCAACTCCCCATTTCCATATTTGCTGTTTTACTTTTGAAGGGAAATTAGTGAGAACAACAGAGGACACAAACTATTGAAGAAGATGGGATGGAAGAAAGGAGAAGGACTTGGAAAAAGTGGTGGTGGAATAAAAGATCCGGTAGGTGTTTTTTTTTTTTTCAGTGAACAATCCCATATAAATAATACCTTATTAATTCTGTTTTATTTGTCAAAAAAGAACCGTTAAAAATCAGTAGAATTTATTTTGAAGTACACTTGTGCTGTAGAATGCACCTTATCTTGTAAACCTCTCCAGACTTACCATATGGGATTTTTGAGCGCACACGGGTACTCAGTATGGTATGAAAATAGCAATGCCAAATTATGAGTTGAAAAGGACCTTGGAAATCACTCCATGCAGCCCCTTCCCCAAGTGCAAGAAACCAGCACCATCACACCTGGAACAGCACATGGTCAACCTCCAGTAAAGGGCAACTCATCCTCTCCTGAGGCAGCCTGTTCCATTGTTTAATTCTTATCGTTAAGACTTTTTCTTGGTGTCCAATGGTGTCATTTAAACCTGTTGGGTTTTTATGCTGTTTTTTGAAGGAGCCTGAATAATTCTGCCTTGCCTTCTATATGATAGTCCTTTAGATGCTTCAGGATAACAATCATATCCTTCTAGGTTTTTTTTTTCTCCAATCAAAATGCAATCAACTGTTTGGCAGTTACTAGATACATAATCTGATTGATAATTAATTATCATAATTAATTTTTGAATTACATAAAAAGTCAATACAGGTAGTCCACACTCACTACTTGCTCAGTGACCATTTGAAGTTACAGTGGTGCTGCAAAAATAACTTTATGGCCAATTTAAAACTATTTACAACCCTCAGTCACATAATCACAATTATAATCACTACTGAATCTGTGGGGCTTTTTTTCATTGTTTAGCTCATTGCAGTGCAGAAAGAAAGGGACTATAAGAGAGTAAACAATTTACTCTTCTGTCCCCTGAAAACAAAGCAATCCCACCAGCCTGGAGTTGAGAGCTACAGGTACATTATTGAAATAACTTGTATCCTCTTGAAATCTCTCCAATCTCTCCACTTCTACAAGTGGGGAAAGTTCTGGAAAAGAACAGCCTTCAGAAATTGCTTGCTTTCCCAACATCCCCTCACAGAATGGAGACATTGGAGAAGGGATTTGAATAGGATAGGATAGAATAGAATACTTTATTGGCCAAGTGTGATTGGACTTTGCATATGCCCTCAGTGTACATAAAGAAAAATAAAATAAAATATATTCATCAAGAATCGTAAGATACAACACTTAGCGATAGTCATAAGTTACTAATTAGCAATCAAATCATACAAAACAATATCAATTGTAAAGTTACAGGCAACATGGTTATATCACGTGTGAAGAGATACGTAGTAGGAAGGATGAGAATAATAATAGTAATACAGTCTTAGTAATTTGACAGTGTTGTGGGAATTAGTTGTTTAGCAGAGGAATGGCATTTGGGAAAAAAACTGTCCTTGTGTCTAGTTGTTCTGGTGTGCAGTGCCCTACAGCAATGTTTTGAGGTTAGAAATTAGAACAATTTATGTCCAGGATGTGAGGGGGTCTGTAGATAAATTCACAGCCCTCTTTTTAACTCGGGCAGTATACAGGTCCTCAGTGGAAGGCAGTTGGTAGCAATTGTTTTTTCTGCAGTTTTAATTATCTGTTGGAAGTCTGTGTCTGTCTTGTTTGGTTGCAAAGCCAAACCAGACAGTTACAGATGTGCAGATGACAGACTCAATAATTCCTCTGTAGAACTGAATCAGCAGCTCTTTGGGCAGTTTGAGCTTTCTGAGTTGGCACAGAAAGAACATTCTTTGTTGTGCTTTTTTGATGACATTTTTGACGTTAGATGTCCATTTTAAGTCTTGAGATATGATAGAACCTAGAAACTACTACTGTTGATACTGTGTTGTCTAATATTGTAAGAGGTGGTAGTATAGGAGGGTTTCTCCTAAAACCTACCAGCATTTCTACGGTTTTGAGTGTATTTAGTTCAAGATTGTTCTGTAAATTGTTTGGGTAGCAAGCCTGCGGCTCCCAGTCTGGACTGCTGGCACCATTGCATTGTTTTCAGTGTGTACAAGACAGCAAGCAGCCACTGTCCTTTCCAAAGGGTAGTGGAATGGGTGGGAGGCAAATGAAAGCTGAAAGTGTGAAAGTTTCACTGCCTAGTTTTGTCTCTTTCCAGACAGAAAGCACAGTTGCAGTCATTTAGCCATTAGCTTTGCTTAACTGTGGCGTTGCTGGTCCCAATTAGGGTTGTTAAGTAAGGACACTTATAACCACTTAGGGCTTAACATAAACTAGATTTTAGCCCCCCAAAACCTTGGGCATACAATCTGCTAATTACCTAGGTTATCAGAGGCATATATTTTCTACCATCACAATTCCTTTGGAGAAGAGCCTAAGATTTTCTACTGCTTATTCAAGTACTGCTAAGCCTCTATATCTGCCACCAAGAAGTTCAGAAATTCAGCTGGCCAATTCTGAGCAGGTCACGATTTATCCAGGCTGAAACTCTAATAACCATTTTAATTGCTTGTGGTTTCATCTGGGGAAAAACTTCAAGGGTTTTACAAGCAAGTACACTATGATGTCTTGCCCATCCTGTTCCCTGTGCCCATATGCTCGGCTTATCTTCTTTCTGCTGCCACACATAAATTCAGGTGCAAGATACTTGGCTGCCCTCCATCCCTCTCCATGATCTCCCAGCACCCTCCTTCACCTGTGGCTACCAGTCTCCTGCCATAACCTGTTATCTGCCCCTCCTTGCTTGCCCAGTGTCTTTTGTTCCCCTCTGTTTCACTGCTGCTGTGTATGGCACACCCAACCTTATCTACTTGCTCTCCATCCCATCTTTTCATGACCTTATTCTCCATTACATGCACTTTACTGCTGTTGTGTGCAAATATTTATGGTTTTGTATTTTCTTCTGTTTTCCACACCAGAACAGCTCTGTTCAGAATGTTATATGTTATGTTCAGGCATAGATTCTAGTCTCTGCCTGAACATAATGCATGCTTTGGACAACTATTGCTTGTTCCATGCATGCAACATTTTGTAATCCCTACTCCTTTTCAGTATTAAAATATCTGTGATTGGATGAGCAAACTATTCCAATGAGATGCTTTTACAATGTGCAGGAATAATAGCAAAGCATATCTTCAATCATTAAAACGAAAGCTCCATTTTTTGTAAGGTTGGTGCAGCTATCTCTCAACAGCTGTAGTAAAGTAGTTGTGCATTTGTATACATGCAGAGTCATCTGTGTGAACCTTTTAAAATACCATATATGGTGTTTTAATAATTGAAGTTGACATTATACATGATTGTTTGCTTTGCAAAATACCTCTTTCAAATGTTTTGCACAATCCTACACAGGCATATGGAGTTAGGAATAATTGCCATTTTTGACCAAATGTAAAGTTTTGCTTTAAAAGCAGAGGGTTCTAGGCACAGATGTCATATGAAATTGTATTTGCAAGGATATAGTTTCTGCACTGTAATACATTTACTGGAACTGATAAAGCAAACAAATTCAAATTTCTCAGTTCTCTTTTCATTTTTACTGCTTACTAACAAGCCTAAGAAACATGATATGCATGCATGATACGCATGCTTGTCTTGCTAACATGATATGTAACAGGGTTAAGAAATTAAGAAATCTGGTCTGAAACAGCATTAAGACACAAGGATGGTTACATTTGGAAAAAGTCTTTCAAACTGTAAAAGCTTTGTCAGAGGTGTTCAGACCTGATCATTATGAGGGAAAGTGGGAATCTTAGTGTCTGAAGAGTGGCTGCTAAACCCACATTAGGCATAATTAAGTTGTCTTAAGAAAATTGAAAGTTTTCCATGTACGATAAAATTAAATGGTGAACTAGTAGTCCACTTGATTGAAACATATACTTGAAATTTGACATGGCATATTTACTTGCTTTGTTAAAGCAAATTAGCCTTAGAGACGCTTGAATATACTGGAAATGTATCGATTAATATCTAATCTTGGAATATACTTGATAAAATATAAGTATACTATGCAGTGTGACTTCCCCATCTTCCTCCCTCCCTCTCTATAGCCTGAATATATTTTGAGAATGTGGCCAGAAGAACAAAGTATGTCAGGCCATATATTTCTATATGTTATTATATTTTCCCGTTGGCCATTTGGGGGGGTCTTAGTGCCCCAAAAGACAGATGGCCTTGTATATGCAAAGCATGAATACACACCAACAGTACCTTAATATTTTAGCAAAGTAATAAGAGCCAAGTTCTGCACACAACAGTGTTTTTCCATGTCTAAAAAAATAATTAAAATTATAGCATGTATATTTATTGAATCTAATTTATAAAAATTCAATGTTTAACAGATCAAACTTGAGTTACACAGAAAGCATGCAGGCTTAGGTGCAAGTATGCCTATTTCTGCTGAAGAGATTCAGATCATCAGTACCAAAAACAAAAGGAACTGGGAAAAAGCGAGAGAAAGATTTGCAGAAACGTTTCAGGATTCTAAAACACTGCAAAAATGCACTGAAGAACCTAACCCAAATTAGAAGAGCAGCAGAATTAAATTCATAATTTGTTAGCTTGTTTATGTAATTATGGTTTTTTACCTTAAAGGTGGAAATGTTATTTGTTATATATTAACTGCTGTATATGCTCACTTAATTGTAAAGCACTGTTATTGTACATGTTGATTTGTTTCTCTGACACCAATTTTAATCATAAGATGTGCATGGCCTAAAGTGGTCCAGTTCTTTTTGAAGAGTTTTCGAAGCAAGTATGAGGATAATTCAGGATTTTTTTTTTATTCTACCACTTTGTTGAAATAGTTAATTTCTGTAACGTTTTTGATTCCTCATGGATCTCAAAGGAGTCTGGTCTGATGAAACAGAAAGCAAGAAATAAGAGCCAAAAGAAAAGCAATACTGATGCATCTCACTTTCTTAAAATGAAATCAATAGATTTTCTAAAATTAGACAACAATTCTGTTCTAAATGCAATATTACTATTTTTGGTGAGGAAATAATATACAAAAGGCCATACAGAAGGCCTTATTTTCTTCCGTGAAGAAGGGTTGTACATCAAGCTTCTAGTATTCTATTCAGGTAGCATGTTTAGAAAAATGATACTATAGTCTGATCTTTTGTACTTTTTAGAATTCAGAATTACACAGTTCAGGGGCTGAACTATTATAAAATTCAGCATCTTTCTGGATTCAAGTATTGTTTTTGATGACATGCAAGGATGTTTCTACTCCAGTTTAGCTTTTTCAGTATGCAGGGAATTTTGAGGTAGAAAATGCAATCATAGATTTGGAAGTGGCACGGTCTTAGGACTTTGGTACCATAAACTAGTCCTATATAGATGAGCCCTATTAGCCTTCTTCAGTCTGTATTGCCACATACCTTAAGATTTTTAATAGACAAACACTATTTATTAACCTCTGTCCATTGCTGGCAATGGAATTTAGGCTGGATTCTATTTTTTTCTCCATTTTTCTTCAAGGTAGAGACTGAACATCTATTTATTGAAATGTTAATAAACATGCTTTCAAAAGATGTGCTGTGAATTTTTAACTCACAAAAAAGATAAACAAGAAAAATTAGATAAAACTTCATTTATATTTGTGTTTATGGATATTCTCAGTCATTTTTTGTGTTTTGTAATTATAATCTGCATTGTGGGTAATTGATCTGAACAATGGCGAATAGATCAATACTTGGTTTTATTTTTTGTTTTTTTAAGATGCTGGAATTCTTACATCAAAGATCATTTAGCCCACATTTCATCCAAATACCACTTTAAATTTCTAGGGATGAAACTGATTTAATTTTAAAACTATTTAATCTTTCAGATTAAATTACTAGGAATAGCAGCTTGGAGTGGCATGTTCATTCTTAATTAACCAAAAATGCCTTCAGTTCTTTAATGGCACCTATTATAGCTCATGTCCTTTTCCTTAGCTCTCAGACAGCTAATAATAAAAAATTGTATTGAAATACTTGTAACATAATAATGCTAATGTCAAGCATCCACATAGTTCTGTCAGCCTCAAACAGTAATGTTTCAGGAACAAACACATTTTTAATGGAAATTTTTTCAATTGCCTTGTTCTGCCTAAGAGAATAAAATGACAGTCATGATAATTTAAATTATAATAATTTATAAACGAAACCTTGAACTGTTTCATACAAAAACAAGACAATTCTCAAAGCAAGCCAGCATGTTTTTAAATATTAATGAAATTAGGACCAGGGCAGCATGTATTATTTGATAACTATATTTTAATTTTAAAATGTTTAAATAGATTCACGTAAAGTGGAAAGGTACTTGAATATGCTGGGTTCGTATATTAAAACAAATTATAACACTATTTGTTTGATTTTGGTTTAGAAGTATACAACAAAGGCTCTAGATTCTTTGAAAGTATTGCCACAATACATTTTTCAATGCAATAACAAGTGTGTTGCACTTCATCAATATGAAAAAGTTATATAACACATGTAACAATATAGATTATTCTAGACCTAGATATTTAAAACACTGCTCTGTAAAGGTCATGTTGAAAGGAAATCCTTAGTATTTTGTTCGATGTTTATAAGATACCTACTGTAGCAAGATCCCTTGTTCAGTTTTTTTATCATCCTATTGGAAGGAAAACAGGTTTGAATTAATATTTGTCATAATTCATCTACATCTAAATTCAGGTATGCAACCCATCATGCTATATACAAATCATCAAAATTTTATATATGTTTCAAGATCAAATATGATTTACAAAAAAATACTATTTAATAATATAGAAAAGCTACTTTAAACTGCCATGACGTTTGAGAAATATATGTGCAAGTAGCAATGGTATTCCTATATCCAGTAAGTTAAAGGAATATGACTTGCTTTTGCACAATTTTATTTTGGAGGTTGTAACCAATAAATGCAGTACTTGGAACTGCCTTATTTTCTCAGACCTCCTTCGTGGGCTATTTATTTATTAATTGCACAAGAGGCAATAACATTATTTAGCCCGTGAGATTTCATGGACGGTGTGATATCTGGAAAAGTGGCTACAGCAGAGAACTTACACAACAATCAAGAATTCACTTTGGCCCAACAGTGAAAGACCTTTTATTAAGCTTATTACTTTCATTGTGATACAATATAAGTATCTGCCAATTCTTCATTTGCCCCCACATACAAAGAAAGTTCCAGAGATACACTGATATAAAGGAACTGAAAATGCAAATAGTTTTTAAGAATATAGTTTATGATTTTCACATTTAAGTACAGGCAAATAAACTACACCGTGTACTGAGTTTGTCTCCTTGTCCCAGCATACCCGTGTAAGCCTCACTGCTGTAATAATCATCTAAATAAGGCTCCCCAGATTCTCTTGCTGCTGGCAACGTGCGAGCTTGAAAGGCTAAGGCGTAAGGGGGGGAGGGGTTGCTCCACGTGCACTAGTAGTACAGTTTAACCTTGAAAAGTATGTAAAATTTTGTTTATCCTAAAGACGTGTGCACATTTCCCCTGGCTTTAATTACACTAGGAATCAATTTATGTTTGTAAGAAACTTTCTCTTTTTCTGAGAGTAAAAATCATTTCCAACTTTTTTTTTTTAACAGTAAGCATCGTTAAACCAGGTTACAAAAAAAATCGGTAGCAAGCTACGCCATGCTGCCTCTTGTCTCCTTTTAGATTTTACTTTTGGGACAAGGTATAAATCCAGCCAATGAGTTATACAAAAAGGTCTTGGAATTTAACGTTTCTAATTCCCGCCCCATTTTGCTTGGATTTAATCTGGGTTGCCTTTCCAACTACTTACCCTTCCCGGGAAGATCTTCCAAATTGTAAGCCGTTTGAATCTCTACCCAACTCATTTTCAAGAAGTCCTGACGTTTATAGAATGCTCTCGACGACAACAGTAGCCTAACGAAAAGCAATCGCTGTCCTTTTAAAAACACAAAGAGAGAAAGTATCCTCGGCAATTTCCCAATTTTCCCCATCGTCTTCCGCTTTGGAGGTACGGGCCATCACGTGCTTTGCCTTAAAGAGCCAGTGCGCAATTTTATCCGTGCTGTTTTCTGCGTTTCAACTGACAATTCCTTTAACTGGCTGAAGGATTCTGGGAGTTGAAGTCCACACATCTTTAAAGTTGCCAAGTTTGAAAAACACCGATCAGAGTCTCTTTGGTTTCTGGTGCCTTAAACTAGTACACCAAACTGACTCTCCTATTTTATATTTAATAGAAAACTTAATCATATAAAGGTGCCACCATATCGCCAGATATCTTATATTTTATATTGCTCGAAGTTAAAACCTACCCCTCTCCTAGGAAAATGAAATATTTTAGGATATACTAAAAAGACAGAATATTTTCTTTCGTGCCCCATGCTCCTGAATATTTTTAAGGAGCGCGGGACAAGCAGTCCAACACTACAAAGGCTTCCGTGCAAAGTTAATTTATTGGATTTTATTAGGCATCCTCAAAGTATAACTCAGAGTTATGTTGAGATTCATCTAACGTCCAATCTTTGCCTCAATAGTGTGAAAAGATGGTTATCTTCATCCCATAGCATTATAGCAAATAAAACTCCAGCACGATGCTGGAGTCCAGGTAAGAATGCCCAAAAACTCTCACCCCAACCAGACATCAATTCAGTGACCAATAAGGATTACAAATGTGACCATGTGACATGAACTACATCTCCCAAGAGACATTAACTACATTTCCCATTAAGCATTCTCTTAAAGGAGCAGCTCTCACTCCTAAACTAACCATATACTGTCTAACCAGCACATTTCCCCTAAAAAGAAAAGTAGAAACTCAGAGGCAAAAACTCAGTCCCCCACCTTGCTAATGGACCATTACTCTGACCTAGGCCAGTCTATTTTACATAACAAAGATCTACTCTATGTAGGAACTTGCCCACAGCCCTTTCATTACATCATCATCCAGCAAGACTCCACCAAGCTTGAGAATCAGGACAGCCTACAAAATTGCCCCTGCATGGCCTCATGGGAGTCTGACAACCAATCAGAATACAAGCTCAAGTTCAAATCCCAACAGAGGACATAAAACTCAGGGACTCTCAGCATCTCTGTCCTTTTTTGTCTGCTCAGGAACCCATCCTGTTCAGCAATAAACCATCTTTCCAAGCAATCACCATGTTTCCAGTATCTTTCTTCCCCACTTGGAACTGAACCCAGAAGGATATTTCTTCCAACAGTGTTGAACAGCCAAAGCCAAAATGCTGTTCGTATTTCTCTGCCAGAAAATTCTGTTTACTCTTTAGATTCCCTCAAGATGAAGATGAACCTTTAGAAAAACTTTAGCAGCAGATTAATGTTTTGCCAACCAGACTAGTCATTAAGAGAGAGAAGACTGTTCCTTAGCCTCTAGTTTGGTGACACAGAATACAATCTGAATTTCACCTAAGTTTCCTTATTAAAGAGATACAGATTAAATAAGCACACCAAATTGTGTACTGCATTTGCCATCTTTTCTGAGAGAAGTACAAATAATTCTTGCTTAATAACTACTCCTTCAGTAACTGTTAGAAGTTATAACCGGTCCTTTGCAGTGTTTCCCTGATGCTATTTTCACGATCCAGGTACTCAAAGAGACCAGCTCAGAATTACAATATTTGGCAATCACGTGATATTGCATTTAACAATGGTGGGGATTCCCTTAATGACAGCAGTCAGAAATGCTGGAACTGCTATTGCTAAGTGGTGTGGTCATGTGACATCATGCTTTATGACTGCATTGCTTAGCAATGAAAATTCCAGTCCCGATTACCATCATTAACTGAGGACTACCTGTAGTATTAAACTTCCTGGATTAGTAGATTTTTGTTCCAATTGCTCCTTTCGGCCACTAGAGGCCATCATAGCTAAACGAGAATCAATCAGCGATTTTGGTGAGTTGTAAAGAATAAGCATGAAAGGAATACCAGTAATTAAAAATCCTGGTAGCTATTTCTTAGCAAAGGAAATTCTGGTACAATTACCATCATTAAATGAGGACCATCTGTACATGCGAAGCATTGGAATTACAACTGATGACCCTTCCTCAAGCACCATAACTTCAACCAAATATATCCTGTACCAGGTTGATTTGTTCAGAAAACAATTTATTTGAGTCTGTTTTATAAAAACTATAGGCATTTCAGTTGGATTAAGGTCAGTATTTTGAAAAATGGAATTTCCTCCATGAATGCCTTCTAGAACATTTCCATAAGAGATCTTTGCATCAGTTCTAGACTTGGCTAATATCACATAGCAATAGCACTTACTTATATACCACTTTACAGTGCTTTACAGCCCTCTCCAGGTGATTTACAGAGTCAGCATATTGCCCCCAACAATCTGGGTCCTCATTTTACTGGTCTCAGAAGGATGGA